CCAACGGGGGCTGCAAAAAAAACGGGAATGAGGGGGGAATTCCGGGGATTCCGGGGATTTTTGGGAATTTTTGGGAATTTTTAGGGGTTTGGGATTTTTGTATTTTGGGGTTTTTGGATATTTGGGGATTTTTGGGGATTTTGGGGAATTTTGGGAATGCCGGGATGCGGATCCAGGAGCTCCTCGGGGCCGTTTGTGCTGCGGGGTCCGGAATTCCCAACGGGGGCTGCAAAAAAAACGGGATTGGGGGGGGCTGCGGGGTCCGGAATTCCCAACGGGGGCTGCAAAAAAAACGGGAATGAGGGGGGAATTCCGGGGATTCCGGGGATTTTTGGGAATTTTTGGGAATTTTTAGGGGTTTGGGATTTTTGTATTTTGGGGTTTTTGGATATTTGGGGATTTTTGGGGATTTTGGGGAATTTTGGGAGGGTTTGAGGATTTTTTGAGGGGATTTTTTGAGATTTTGGGAATTTCTGGGGGTTCTGACCTTTGGAATTTTTGGGGGTTTTGGGATTTTTGTGTTTTGGGGTTTTTCGATATTTTTGGGGTTTTGGGAGATTTCTTGGGGGATTTTTTGCAAATTTCGGGAGATTTTTGGGGGGATGTTGGGATTTCCGGGCCGGCGCCGTTTTCTCCCGGGTTCCCAGCTCGGGGCTGGGGGAATTCCGGGAATTTGGGGAATTTGGGGAATTTTGGGAATGCCGGGATGCGGATCCAGGAGCTCCTCGGGGCCGTTTGTGCTGCGGGGTCCGGAATTCCCAACGGGGGCTGCAAAAAAAACGGGAATGGGGAGGGAATTCCGGGAATTCCGGGGATTTTTGGGAATTTTTGGGGGTTTTGGGATTTTTGTGTTTTGGGGTTTTTCAAGATTTTTGGGGTTTTTGGGAGATTTCTTGGGGGATTTTTGGATATTTCAGGAATTTGGGGGTTTGGGGATTTTGAAGGGTTTGGGGATTTTTGGGAGGTTTTTTGGGGGATTTTTGGGCAATTTTGGGGTCTTGGGAATTTCTGGGGTTTTGGGATTTTGGGGAATTTTGGGATTTAGGAATTTTCAGGGTTTCAGGATTTTGGCATTTTGGGGTTTTTGGATATTTTGGGCATTTTTGGGCATTTGGAGATTTTTGGGAGTTTTTTTGCAATTTTTGGGATTTTGGGGAATTTGGGATTTGGGAATTTTCAGGGCTTGGGGATTTTTAGGATTTTGGAAGTTTGGGGATTTTGGGGATTTGGGGAATTTTGGGAGTTTTTGGGGATTTTCTGCAAATTTTGGGATTTGGGAATTTTGGGGATTTGGGGGGTTTAGGGATTTTTGGGATTTTGGAGAATTTTGGGAGTTTTTGGTGTTTTGGGGGATTTTTTTGCAATTTTTGGGATTTAGGAATTTCCTTGGTTTTGGGGATTTTGGGAGATTTTTGGAGAATTTGGGATTTGGGAATTTTCAGGGTTTTGGGGATTTTTTGGGCGATTTTTGTATTTCAGGGTTTTTAGACATTTTGGGAATTTGGGGGGGGTCTGGGGTTTTTGGGCATTTTTGGCTTTTGGGGATATTTTGGGGTGATATTTTGGGGTTTTTTGGGGGGGATATTTTGGGGTTTTTTGGGGGGATATTTTGGGGTGATATTTTGTGGTTTTGGGGGGATTTGTGTTTTTGGGGATTCTGGGTGGATGTTTGGGGTTTTGGGCTCTCACCTGTCGGGCTCCCGGCTCCGTTTCCGGGGCGTTCCGGAGCTGCTGCAAATCCACGAGGTCAGAGCTTGGCAGGGAAAACCCCAAACCCCAAAAGAACCAAACCCCAAATCCCCACCTGGGCGTTTCCAGCTCCCCAAAGAGCCCCAGATCCTGGCCCAGAGCCCTCGGAGCTCCCTCAGAGCTCCTTGGAGCCCACTCTGATCCCCTCAGAGCTTCCTCGGAGCTCCCTCAGAGCTCCTTGGAGCCCACTCAGATCCCCTCAGAGCTCCCCTGCAGCTCCCTCAGAGCCCCTCTGATCGTCCTCAGAGCTCCCTCAGAGCCCCTCTGATCCTCCTCAGAGCCCCCTCAGATCACCTCAGAGTTCCCACAAAGCCCCCTCAGAGCTCCCTCAGAGCCCCTTCAGAGCTTCCTCAGAGCCCACTCTGATCCCCTCAGAGCTCTCCCAGACCTCCCTCAGAGCCCCTCGGAGCTCCCCTCGGAGCCCACTTAGATCCCGTAAAGCCCCCTCGGAGCTCCCTCAGAGCCCCTCGGAGCGCCCCTCGGAGCCCACTTAGATCCCGTAAAGCCCCCTCGGAGCTCCCTCAGAGCCCCTTCAGAGCTTCCTCGGAGCTCACTCTGACCCCTTCAAGCCCCCTCGGAGCTCCCTCAGAGTCCCTTCAGAGCTTCCTCGGAGCTCACTCTGACCCCTTCAGAGCTCCCCTGGAGCTCCTTCAGAGCCCCCGCAGGTCTCCATGAGAAGCCTCCGAGTGCTCCCTCAGAGCCCCTCGGAGCTCTCTCTGAGCCCCTTGGAGCTCCCTCAGTTCCCATAAAGCCCCCTCGGTGCTCCCTCAGACCCCCACGGAGCTTCCTTGGAGCTCCCTCAGAGCCCACTCTGATCCCCTCAGAGCTCGCTCTAAGGTCCCTCAGAGCCCCTCGGAGCTCCCTCAGATCACCTCAGAGTTCCTGTAAAGCCCCCTCGGAGCTCCCTCAGAGCCCACTCAGATCCCCTCAGAGTTCCCCTGGAGCTCCCTCAGAGCCTTTGGAGCTCCCTCACAGCCACTGATCCTCGTCGGAGCTCCCTCAGAGCCCCCACAGGTCTCCATTAGAAGCCTCCGAGTGCTCCCTCAGAGCCCCTCGGAGCTCCCTCAGTTCCCGTAAAGCCCCCTCGGAGCTCCCTCAGAGTCCCTTCAGAGCTTCCTCGGAGCTCCCCCAGAGCCCACTCTGATCCCCTCGGAGCTTCCTCGGAGCTCGCTCGGAGCCCGCTCAGATCCCCTCAGAGCTCCTCGGAGCTGTCTCTGATCCTCCTCAGAGTTCCAGCAAAACCCCCTCGGAGCTCCCTCAGAGCCCCTCGGAGCTCTGTCAGAGGCGCCGCAGGTCTCCACTGGAAGCCTCTGAGTGCTCCCTCAGAGCCCCTCTGGTCCTCCTCAGAGCCCCCTCAGATCACCTCAGAGTTCCCGCACAGCCCCCTCAGAGCCCCCTCAGATCACCTCAGAGTTCCCGCACAGCCCCCTCAGAGCCCCCTCAGATCACCTCGGAGTTCCCAAAAAGCCCCCTCGGAGCTCCCTCAGAGCTCGCTCAGATCCCCTCAGAGCTCCTCAGTGCCCCCGCAGGTCTCCATTGGAAGCCTCTGAGTGCTCCCTCAAAGCTCCATCAGAGCTCCTTGGAACTCCCTCGGATCCTCCTTAAAGCCCCCACCAGAGCTCCGAGGTCCCTGAGAGCGCCCCTCAGAGCTCCCGCAAAGCCCTCTCGGAGTTCCCTCAGAGTCCCCATCAGAGCTCCCTCAGGGCTCCATCAGGACTCCCTCAGAACCTCCTCACGGCTCCCTCGGAGCCCCTCAGAGCTCCCCCCTCAGAGCTCCTTCGCAGCCTGCTCAGAGCTCCCTCAGAGACCCCTTGGAGGTCCCTCAGAGCTCCCCCAGAGCCCCTTCAGAGCCCCCTCGGAGCCCGCTCAGAGCCCCTTCCTCACCTCAGCGCCGCCTCCGCCATGGCTGCTTCCCGCCTTCAGCCGCGCGCCTTCGAACCGCCCGCCCTGCGCTCCCATTGGCTGGGCGCCGCGTCAATCAGCACTGCTCCCTCGCCATTGGTTGAACAGCGCGCGGCTCCGGTTTGTACCCGCCCCCGCTGCTTTGCAGCCAATCGGAGAGCGCGGCTCGCCGCGCGGGCCCGCCGCTAGACTACAACTCCCAGCGTGCCGTGCGAGAGCACAGCGGCGCATCGGCGCTCTGCGGCGCGCGGGGGCTGATGGGAGTTGTAGTCGCTGCCTCGCGTCCGGGGCGCGGGAGATCCTGAGGGCAGGGAAGGAAAGGGGCGGGGCCGGGGCTTAATGGGCGGGTAACGAGGCGCTAATTAAGGATTTTTGTGTTAATTAGCGCGCCGGGGAGCTGCTGTGGGCGGGAACGCTTTTCACTGCTGCAGGGTGCTCCAAGCCCCAGTGGCCAGCCTGGAAAAGGGGAATGAAAACGGGGAAAAGGGGAAAAGGAGGATCCTGAGTGGATATTTCACGTTTTATCAGCCAAAAACCCAAATAAATTCTCCTTTATTGCTCTGAAAGGGCCCAGCTGGGCGGGTTTGGCTCCTGCTGGTGAGCGATCCCTGCCCTGCCATGTTCATTCGGTTCCAGTTGTTGAATCCCGCAGTTTCGGGGATAAAACGAGGAAAAAATTGGGGAAGAGGGGAAAAAAGGCAGGAGAAGAGGAAAGGAAAGGGGTGAAAAAAGGGAAAGGAAAAAGGGAAAGAGATGAGAGAAGGGAAAGGGAAACGGGGAAATAGGGAAGGAGCAAAAAAGGAGAGGAGAAAGAAAAAGTGGAAAGGGAAAAAAGGAAAGATGGAAAAGAGACGAAAGGGGGAGAGGAAAAGGAAAGGAAAAAGTGGAGGCAGTGAAGGAAAGAGGGGAAAAACCAAGGCGAGAAAAAAAAGGAAAGAAAAGGAAAAAACCAGAAAAACACATACTGCGCATGCGCAGCTCTTCCACCTACGCCTTCACTGCCGATATGCGCATGCGCAATGAGATTTGCCGTACGCTATCATGGCCGCCCTCACCCACCGCCGGTTTATTTGCCGTACGCCGTCATGGCCGCTCCGCGCACGCGCAGTTCCATTTTCCGTACGCTATCATGGCCGCCCTCGCTACGCAGTTTTATTTTCCGTACACTGTCATGGCCGCTCTAAGCATGCGCGGTGAGCCTCCCGTGCAGCCTCACGGCCATTCTGCGCACGCGCAGTGAGATTTCCGTACATTGCCATGGCCGCCCGCACGCGCGCAGCTCCCTCTACCCCTGCTCCATTACCGCTCTGCGCATGCGCATCGTCCCCACGCAGCGCTGACGTCATTACGCACGGCCTCTTCCCGGCCGGGCCTTCCCTGAGGAGGAGGCGGCGGAGCCCCGGGACGGGCCCGGGATAAAAACCGGGAAAAAACCGGGAAAAACGGGAAAAACGGGATAAAATCGGGAGCGCCGGGAGCAGCGCCGCCCCCGCGCCGCCGCAGCCATGGTGTTCTACTTCACCTCCAACGGTGAGGGAGCCCGGGCGGGCCCTGAGGGGATTCCCGCCAAAATTCCCCTTTTCCCGCCAAAATCCCCTTTTCCCGCCAATTCCCGCTTCCCCTCAGGAATCTCCGCCATTCCCGGCGTTTCCTTCCCTCGGGATTTTTCCCGCCCGTTCCGGAATTCCCGCGGGAAAACAAATCCCGGGAACGTTCCCGGGAAAAAAACCGGGAATGGCTCCTCAAAATCCGGGAATTCTGCGGGAATTCCCAACTTTCCTGGGTTTTCCCAAGGGCCGGGTTTTACCGGGTTTTTCTGGGAATTTTCCAGGATTTTTCCAGGATTTTTCCAGGATTTCCTCCGGGCTTTTCCCGCATTTTTTTTTAGGATATTTCAGGAATTTTTGCTGTATTTTTCCAGGATTTTTTCCAGGTTTTTCCCCACAGTTTTCCTTCATTTTTCCTCGATTTCCCCTTGATTTTTCCAGGGATTTTTCCCTGCATTTCCCAGGATTTTTCCTGCATTTTTCCCAGACTTTTTCCAGGATTTTCCCACATTTTTCCTGAATTTTTCCAGATTTTTTTTCCAATAACTTTCTGGGATTTTCCCTTCATTGTTCCTGGATTTTCCCCAGATTTTCCTTTCATTTCTCCCTGATTTTCCTGGAATTTTCCCGTGATTTTTCCTTCATTTTCCTCACATTTTTCCTGCTTTTTTCCCGGATTTTTCCCGCATTTCCCCTCCCAATCCAGGTTTGTTTTCCATTCCCGCTTTCCCATCCAGATTTTTTGGGATATTGGGAATTTTACGTCGCAAATATCCCAAAATAAAGGCAGGAATGGAGAGAAATTTGGGAATTTTTTGGGAGAAATTTGGGAATTCTGGGAGAAACTTGGGAACCGCAGCTGGCACCGACCCCGCGGGAATTCCCGGATTTGAGAATTCCCAAATTTCCCCGGGAAACCCCAGGGGGAAAAAGAATTTGGGCTCTAAAAAAAAAACTTGTGACAAAAAAATTCCCTCCACCCCCCAAGAGGGAAGAGGGGAATTCCCAGGGATTTCTCGGGAATTTTCCAGGAATTCCCAGGATTTTGGGATTTTTTTCCTGGATTTTCACAGATCATTCCCGTTTTCTCCTGGATTTCATGGATCCATTCCCGTTTTTCCTGGATCCATTCCCGTTTTTCCCATTTTTCCCAGATCCATTCCCGTTTTCCAGGAATCCATTCCCACTTTTCCCACATTCCCATGGATCCTTTCCCATTTGTCACGGATCCATTCCTGGTTTTCCTGGATCTATTCCCGTTTTTTCCCATTTTTCATGGATCATTCCCGTTTTATCCTGGATTTCCACCCATCCATTCCCATTTTTCCCACATTTCCATGAATCCATTCCCATTTTTCCCTTTTTTCCTAGATCCATTCCCATTTTTTTCCGTTTTCCATGAATCGATTCCTGTTTTTTCCTGTTTTCCCATGGATCCTTTCCCATTTTTCACAGATCCATTCCCGTTTTTCCTGGATTTCCATGGATCCTTTCCCATTTTTTCCCATTTTTCTTGGATTTCCCTAGATCCATTCCGTTTTTTTTTTCATTTTCCCTGGATCCTTTCCCATTTTTTCCCATTTTTTTCCCATTTTTCTCCCATTTTTCCATTCGATTCCTGTTTTTTCCTGTTTTCCCATGGATCCTTTCCCATTTTTCACAGATCCATTCCCGTTTTTCCTGGATTTCCATGGATCCTTTCCCATTTTTTCCCATTTTTCTTGGATTTCCCTAGATCCATTCCGTTTTTTTTTTCATTTTCCCTGGATCCTTTCCCATTTTTCCCTTTTTTCCTAGATCCATTCCCATTTTTTTCCGTTTTCCATGAATCCATTCCTTTTTTTCCCTGTTTTTCCTGGATTTCTACAGACCCATTCCCATTTTTTCCCATTTTTCACAGATCCATTCCCGTTTTTCAGGGATCCTTTCCCATTTTTCCCATTTTTCCTGGATCCATTCCTGTTTTTTCCCGTTTTTCAGGGATCCAATTTTCCCCAGATTTTCCTTTCATTTCTCCCTGATTTTCCTGGAATTTTCCCGTGATTTTTCCTTCATTTTCCTCACATTTTTCCTGCTTTTTTCCCGGATTTTTCCCGGATTTTTCCCGCATTTCCCCTCCCAATCCAGGTTTGTTTTCCATTCCCGCTTTCCCATCCAGATTTTTTGGGATATTGGGAATTTTACGTCGCAAATATCCCAAAATAAAGGCAGGAATGGAGAGAAATTTGGGAATTTTTTGGGAGAAATTTGGGAATTCTGGGAGAAACTTGGGAACCGCAGCTGGCACCGACCCCGCGGGAATTCCCGGATTTGAGAATTCCCAAATTTCCCCGGGAAACCCCAGGGGGAAAAAGAATTTGGGCTCTAAAAAAAAACTTGTGACAACAAAATTCCCTCCACCCCCCAAGAGGGAAGAGGGGAATTCCCAGGAATTTCTCGGGAATTTTCCAGGAATTCCCAGAATTTTGGGATTTTTTTTCCTGGATTTTCACAGATCATTCCCGTTTTCCCCGTTTTTCCTGGATCCATTCCCGTTTTTCCTCATTTTTCCCAGATCCATTCCCGTTTTCCAGGAATCCATTCCCACTTTTCCCACATTCCCATGGATCCTTTCCCATTTGTCACGGATCCATTCCTGGTTTTCCTGGATCTATTCCCGTTTTTTCCCATTTTTCATGGATCATTCCCGTTTTTTCCTGGATTTCCACCCATCCATTCCCATTTTTCCTGCATTTCCATGGATCCATTCCCATTTTCCATGAATCCTTTCCCATTTTTCACTGATCCATTTCTGTTTTTCCTGGATTTCCACGGATCCCTTCCCCTCTTTTCCCGTTTTTCATGGATCTTTTCCCTTTTTTCCACAGAGCCATTCCCATTTTTTCCCGTTTTCCATGGATCCATTCCAGTTTTTCCTGGATTTCCATGGATCCTTTCCCATTTTTTCCCATTTTTTTCCCATTTTTCTCCCATTTTTCCATGAATCCATTCCCATTTTTTCCCGTTTTCCATGACTCCATTCCTATTTTTTCCTGCTTTTCCCATTTTTCCTGGATCCATTCCTGTTTTTTCCCGTTTTTCAGGGATCCATTCCCATTTTTCCCTTTTTTCCTGGATTTCCACGGATCCCTTCCCCTTTTTTCCCATTTTTCACAGATCCATTCCCGTTTTTCAGGGATCCTTTCCCATTTTTCCCATTTTTCCTGGATCCATTCCTGTTTTTTCCCGTTTTTCAGGGATCCATTCCCATTTTTCCTGCATTTCCATGGATCCAATCCCGTTTTTCCCATTTTTCCTGGATCCTTTCCCGTTTTTCCTGCATTTCCATGGATCCAATCCCGTTTTTCCCATTTTTCCCATTTTTTTCCCATTTTTCTCCCATTTTTCCTGGATCCATTCCTGTTTTTTCCCGTTTTTCAGGGATCCATTCCCATTTTTCCTGCATTTCCATGGATCCATTCCCGTTTCCTGGATCCATTCCCCATTTTCCCCGGATCCTTTCCCATTTTTCCTGTTTTCCATGAATCCATTCCTGTTTTTCCCAGATCCATTCCCGCTTTTCCTGGATTTCCCTGCATCCTTTCCTGGTTTTTCCCCATTTTCCCTGGATCCATTCCCATTTTTCACTGATCCATTCCTGGTTTTCCTGGATTTCCACGGATCCATTCCCATTTTCCCCATATTTCATGAATCCTTTCCCATTTTTTCCCATTTTCCCCCCATTTTCCACAGAGCCATTCCCATTTTTTCCCGTTTTCCATGGATCCATTCCCGTTTTTCCTGGATTTCCATGGATCCTTTCCCATTTTTTCCCATTTTTTTCCCATTTTTCTCCCATTTTTCCATGAATCCATTCCCATTTTTTCCCGTTTTCCATGACTCCATTCCTGTTTTTTCCTGCTTTTCCCATTTTTCCTGGATCCTTTCCCATTTTTCCTGCATTTCCATGGATCCATTCCCGTTTTTCCTATTTTTTTTCCCATTTTTTCCCATTTTTCTCCCATTTTTCCTGGATCCATCCCCATTTTTCCCTTATTTCCTGGATTTCCCCAGATCCATTCCCATTTTTCCCATTTTTCCTGGATCCATTCCCATTTTTTTCTGTTTTCCACGAATCCATTCCTGTTTTTTCCCGTTTTTCAGGGATCCATTCCCATTTTTCCTGCATTTCCATGGATCCATTCCCGTTTCCTGGATCCATTCCCCATTTTCCCCGGATCCTTTCCCATTTTTCCTGTTTTCCATGAATCCATTCCTGTTTTTCCCAGATCCATTCCCGCTTTTCCTGGATTTCCCTGCATCCTTTCCTGGTTTTTCCCCATTTTCCCTGGATCCATTCCCATTTTTCACTGATCCATTCCTGGTTTTCCTGGATTTCCACGGATCCATTCCCATTTTCCCCATATTTCATGAATCCTTTCCCATTTTTTCCCATTTTCCCCAGATCCATTCCCATTTTTCCCTTTTTTCCTGGATCCATTCCCATTTTTTTCTGTTTTCCATGACTCCATTCCTGTTTTTTCCTGCTTTTCCCATTTTTCCTGGATCCTTTCCCCATTCCCGTTTTTCCCACATTTCCATGGATCCATTCCCGTTTCTCACGGCTCCTTTCCCGTTCCCGCAGCCGCGGCCGCCGTCTACACCATCTACATGGGCAAGGACAAGTACGAGAGTGAGTGACGGCAGTTCCGCAATTCCGGAATTCCGGGGAATTTCGGGAATTATTCGGGCACTCTCTGGGATTTTCCGGGAATTTTGGGGCTTTTTTTTGTTAATTTTGGTGATTTTTGGGGGATTTTGTTGGGATTTTTGGGAATTTGGGGGATTATTTTGGGAATTTTGTTGGGATTATTTTTAATTTTTGGGCTTTTTTTAGGAATTTCAGTGATTCGTTTGGGAATTTTGGGGATAATTTTGGGAATTTCAGGGGTTGTTTTTAGAATTTCCCAGATTTTGGGGGGAGTTTTGGGGATTTCAGGAAATTTTTGGGGGTGTTTTGGGATTTTTTAGGAATTTTTGTGATTTTTTTTGAGGATTGTATTTTATAATTTTGGGGATTTCAGGGATTATTTTGGGAATTATTTTGGGGGGGGAATTTTCGGAATTATTTTGGGAGTTTTAGGCATTGTTTTGGAAGTTTTGGGGATTTTTTTTTGGGAATCTTGGGGGTTGTTTTGGGAATTCCTTTGGGGATCTTGCTTGGAATTTTCAGGAATTTTATTTTTTTCATTCCGGGATTGTTTTGGGAATTTCTGGGGTTGTTTTGAGAGTTTTGGGGATTTATGTTTTTAATTTCTCGGCTGGGTTTTGGTCAGGAATCCCGGGATTTTGGGGTGGAATTCTGGGATTTGGGGCTGGGGTTTGGGTGGGAATTCTGGCATTTGAGGTGGATTTGGGTGGCAATCCCAGGATTTGGGGCTGGAATTCCGGGATTTTGGGGCTGGAATTCTGGGAATTGGGATTGGATTTGGGATGGGAATTTTGGGATTTGGGGCTGGATTTGGTGCTGGAATCCCAGGATTTTGGGGCTGGAATTCTGGGACTTGGGGCAGGAATTCAGGGATTTGGGATCGGAATCCCGGGATTTTGGGGCTGGAATTCTGGGAATTGGGATTGGATTTGGGATGGGGATTTTGGGATTTGGGGCTGGGATGTGGGGCAGAAATTTGGGATTTGGGTGGGAATCTGGGATTTGGGGCTGGATTTGGTGCTGGAATCCCAGGATTTTGGGGCTGGAATTCTGGGATTTGGGATCGGAATCCCAGGTTTTGTTGGAGGAATTCCGGGATTCGGGGCTGGAATTCTGGGACTTGGGGCAGGAATTGAGGGATTTGGGATCGGAATCCCAGGTTTTGTTGGAGGAATTCCGGGATTCGGGGCTGGAATTCTGGGACTTGGGGCAGGAATTGAGGGATTTGGGATCGGAATCCCAGGTTTTGTTGGAGGAATTCCGGGATTCGGGGCTGGAATTCTGGGACTTGGGGCAGGAATTGAGGGATTTGGGATCGGAATCCCAGGATTTGTTGCAGGAATTCCGGGATTCGGGGCTGGAATTCTGGGACTTGGGGCAGGAATTTTTGGATTTGGGTGGGAATTCAGGGATTCGGGGCCAGAGTTTTTGTATTTGGGGCAGGAATTCTGGGATTTGGGACTGGAATTCTGGGATTTGGGGCAGGAACTTTTGTATTTGGGGCTAGAATTCCGGGATGTGTGTGCGAATTTGGGGGATGCGTGGGGGAATTTTTGGATTTGGGGTGGGAACTCTGGGATCTGGGGCTGGAATTTTTGTATTTGGGGCTGGAATTCCAGGATGTGTGTGGGAATTTCGGGATTTGGGGCAGGAATTCGGGGATTTGGGTGGGAATTTCAGGATTTGGGGCAGGAATTCGGGGATGTGTGTGTGAATTTCGGGATTTGTGTGTGAGCTGGGGGCTCCGGGCTGAGCCCGCTGCCGTCCCCGCAGACGAGGACCTGATCAAGTACGGCTGGCCCGAGGACGTCTGGTGAGCGCCGGGAGCCAGCGGGAACAGGGAACGGGAACCGGGAGAGCCCTGGAGCCCTCTGGAACCCCCTGGATCCCATGGGATTCCCCTTTGCCCCCTGGGTCCCTCTGGAGCCCCCTGGATCCCGTTTGTTGCCCTGGATCCCACCCCGATCCCGTTTTCCCCCCCTGGATCCCGTCTGGATCCCACTTTTTCCCCCAGATCCTGTTGGATTTCCTTGGACCCTTTTTATCCTCTGGATCCCGTTTGGATCCCAGTTATTCCCTGGAATTCCTGGAATTCCCAAGCTGGCTGTGAGTCAGAATTCCCAGAATTCCTGAAATTCCCAGGTTGGAACTCCTGGCTTGGAATTCCCAGAATTCCGAGGTTGCAATGCCCGGAATTCCCGGGTTGGCTTCAGGTCAGAATTCCAGGAATTCCCAGCTCAGCATTCCCGGGTTGGCTCTGGGTCGGAATTCCCAGAATTCCTGCCATTCTGAGCTCGAAATTCCCGGAATTCCCAGAAATCCCAGCTCAGAATTCCTGGAATTCCAAGAATTCCCAGCTCAGCATTCCCAGAATTCCTGGCATTCCCAGCTCAAAATTCCCAGAAATCCCAGAATTCCCAGCTCAGCATTCCCAGATTTCCTTGAATTCCAAGCCCAGAATTCCCAGATTTCTTTGAATTCCCAGCTCAGCATTCCCAGAATTCCAGGAATTCCCAGAATTCCAGGAATTCCGAGCTCAGCGTTGCCGGGCTGGCTCCGGGTTGGGATTCCCGGAATTCCGAGCTCAGCGTTCCCGGCATTCCCGCAGGTTCCACGTGGACAAGCTCTCCTCAGCCCACGTCTACCTGCGGCTGCACCAGGTACACCTGGGGGAACTCGGGAAAAGGTCGGGGAAAAATTGGGAAAAATTTGGGGAAAATTTGGGAAAAATTCGGGAAAAATTTGGGAAAAAATCGGGAAAAATTTGGGAAAAATCAGGGAAAATTCGGGGAAAAATTCAGGAAAAATTTGGGAAAAATTCAGGAAAATTTGGAAAAAATTCGGGAAAAATTTGGGAAAAATTAGAGGAAAAACTCCGGAAAAAATTGGGAAAAATTTGAGAAAAATTCAGGAAAATTTGGGGAAAATTCAGGAAAAAATTGGGAAAAATTCGGGAAAAAATTGGGAAAAGTTAAGGAAAAATTTGAGAAAATTTCGTGAAAAATTCAGGAAAATTTGGGAAAAATTTGAGAAAAATTTGGAAAAAAATTCAGGAAAAATTCGGGGAAAATTTGGGGAAAATTCAGAAAAATTTGGGAAAATCTTGGGAAACCAGTGGGGAAAAGCTCAGGGAAAAAAAAAAGACAGGAAAAATGTCAGGAAAATCGGGAAAAACCTCGGGAAAAATTGGGGAGAAATGTCAGAAAATCAGGATATTCCAGGAAAAGTTTGGGAAAACCTTGGGGAAATTGGGTGAAACCTTGGGAAAAGTGGGAAAAGCCTTGGAAAAGTTGGATATTCTTGGGAAATTTTGGGAAAAGTAGGAAAAATCCTGGGAAAAGTGGGAAAAACCTCGGGAAATTGGGATGTGCTTGGGAAACCTTGGGAAAATTAGGAATAATCTTGGGAAAACTGGGAAAAAAATTGGACAAATTGGGGAAAACCTCGGGAAAATTGGGAAAAATCCTGGGAGAATGGGGAAAAACCATGGGAAAAGTGGGAAAAACCTTGGAAAAATTGGAAGAAACCTTGGGAAAAGTGGGAAATTCCTGGGAAACCTTGGGAAAATGGGAAATAATCTTGGGAAAATGGGAAAAATCGTGGGAAAATGGGGATATTCCTGGGAAAACATCAGAAAAACTGGGAAAATCTTGGGAAAAGTGGGAAAAAATTTGAGAAAATTGGGAAAAACCTTTCGAAAAGTGGGGAAAATCCTGGGAGAATTGGGAAAAAACCTGGGAAAAGTGGGAAAATCTTGGGAAAATTGGGGAAAACCTTGGGAAAAACCTCAGGAAATTGGGATGTTCTTGGGAAACCTTGGGAAACTTAGGAATAATCTTGGGAAAAAATTGGGGAAAACCTGGGGAAAAGTGGGAAATTCCTGGGAAACCTTGGGAAAATTGTGAATAATCTTGGGAAAAGTGGGGAAAAATCTTGGGAAAATTGGGATATCCCTGGGGAAATTGGGGAAAACCTTGGGAAAAGTGGGAAAAATCCTGGGAGAATTGGGGAAAATCCTGGGAAAATTGTAAAGAATTCTGAGAAAAGTGGGATATTCTCCTGGAAACCTCAGGAAGAGTCGGAAAAGTCTTGGGAAAACTGGGAAAAAAATTGGACAAATTGGGGAAAACCTCGGGAAAATTGGGAAAAATCCTTGGAGAATGGGGAAAAATCATGGGAAACGTGGGAGAAACCTTGGGAAAAGTGGGAAAAATCCTGGGAAATTGAAAAATATCTTGAGAAAATTGGGGAAAAGCTTGGGAAAATTGGGGAAAAAATTGGACAAATTGGGGAAAACCTGGGGAAAAGTGGGGAAAGCCTTGGGAGGAGTGGGGTGACCCTGGGGAAATGTGGGAAATGTGCTTTTCCCGTGGGATGAGGAGGGGATTTGGGATTCGGGATTTGGGCTTTGGGATGTGGGATTTGGGATTTGGGGATTTGGGATTTGGGGATTTGGGGATTTGGGATTTGGGAATTTGGGGATTTGGGAATTTGGGGATTTGGGATTTGGGAATTTGGGATTTGGGATTTGGGATTTGGGATTTGGGGATTTGGGATTCGGGATTCGGGATTTGGGATTCGGGATTCGGGATTCGGGATTCGGGAATTTGGGATTCGGGATTTGGGATTCGGGATTGGGGATTTGGGATTTGGGGATTTGGGAATTTGGGGATTTGGGATTTGGGGATTTGGGATTCGGGATTGGGGATTTGGGATTTGTGCTTGGGGCAGGGCCAGACCATGGACGACATCCCCAAGGAGGTGCTGAGCGACTGCGCCCACCTGGTCAAGGCCAACAGCATCCAAGGTACCCCAAATTCCCTTTTTCCTCTTGCCCAAATCCCCCCTTTTTCCTTCTTTTCCCCATTTCCCCCGCTCTTTTCCCAACATTTTTCCCCATTTTTCCCTAATTTCCCTTCCTTTTTTGCCCCAATTTTTCCCCATTTTTCCCCAATTTTTTCCCAATATTTTTCCCATTTTCCCCCAATTTTCTTTCTTTTTTTTCCTAATTTTCCCCAATTTTTCCCCATTTCTCCCCATTTTTTTTTTTGTTTCCTCACATTTTTTCCACTTTTTCCCATTTTCCCCCACTTTTGCTTTTCCCCACTTCTTCCCTATTTTTTCCCACTTTATTCCCCTTTTCCCCCATTTTTTCACCATTTCCCCATTTTTTCCCATTTATTTTTCCTGGTTTTCCCCATTTTTTCCCGTTTATTTTCTGTATTTTCCCCATTTTTTCCCATTTATTTTCTGTGTTTTCCCCATTTTTCCCCATTTATTTTTCCTGGTTTTCCCCACTTTTCCCGTTTATTTCCCTTTTTTCCATTTCCCCTTTTCTCCCTTTATTTCCCCATTTCCCTCTTTATTTTCCCCGTTTCTCCCCATTTTCCCCCATTCATTTCTCCCCAATTTTCCCCATTTTTTCCCATTTATCCCCCACCTTTACTGGGTTTTTACCATAAATAGTTTTGCCCATTTTTGCCCATTTTCCCCCCATTTCCAGGCTGCAAGCTGAGCTCAGTGACCATGATTTATCCCATTTTATCCCATTTTTTACCCATTTTTCCCCATTT